GCCGGGGGCGCCGCGCCGCGTGGTCGCGTCGGGCGAGGCAGCCCGGAGCTCCTGGGCCGGGCGAGTTTTCTGCTCCTGCAAGGCAAAATGCGGCAGCAAAGCCGAAGCCAGGCGTGCTCCCCTCTCAAATAATCGCGTCAGGGGTCAGGAAAACTGTAGCCGCAATATATTTTTACAGCTAAATATTAGACAGTTTTATACAGCTTTCTAAACGTTACTCGTAGAGTTACTAAAACAATATCTATAATTAAACCTTTAGTTTGCTTTCCTTGGAGATAAATATATTTCTCACGCACTAAGGGGAAAAAATATTTTTAAATGCCCGAGAACTATTGTCACGGCAGAATTTCTTTCTGCAGGCACGAAGGTAATGTTATACAGTAAATAGCTGAGACAAATAACTGTTTAACTTCCAGCGTCCTTGAAGCCCTAAGCATTTTCCTGATTACAGTCTTCAACGGCGCTTTTAGTGCAAAGATTAATAAATCTTAGCGATGTGCTAAGAGCTACAAGCTGACAACGTAAGTTGAACTGTGCTCTCTGGACTCTGCCGTGTGCCCGTTCCTGTTTAGCTCCTAATAATTTGCAAACGAAGGGAGGAGAGAAATGTATTTCGGTGGGTGCGGGCCAAAAGGCCGTTTCTTTCTCAGCTCAATGCCCGCCGTGTCATCGCAGCCCTCTCTCCAAAGCTGCCTGACGTTTACAAGCTCCCTTTCGCTTTACAGCGCAAAGCTAGTAAGCGAAACGTAAAAGAATAACCCAATGATGAATTACGGCAGGTAGCAGAGGGGATGGAGGGAGCAAAAAAAATCAGCGACAAAGCTATGAGTCTGAAACAGACTTCGCAGGCTCAACTCGAAAGCTGCTGCAGAAATCCAAACACCTCCGTTTATTATTTCTGCACAACGTGGCACGGTATATGTAAAATCCGTATTTATTTTTTTCCCCCGAAATACGGAGAGGTGAGTCGGAACAAGAATATAAGGATTCGCAAGGGGGAAGGTGTTTGCTTTGATAGGTGGGTTCTCTTTATTTTTTGCCGTGCATTTAGACCCTTTTCCCCCCAGCGTTCAGTAGCTATGGGAGCAGGAGGCAGAATACCGCATATTTTTCCATTTCCTCCCGTTTCCTACCAACCAGCTCGAATTTGTCCAAATAGCCGAGGCGAAGTGGTCGCTCCCCGTCGCTGACTTCGCACACCACGGTCCCAAACGCTGTCTCGAAATTTGAAGTTTTACTAGTTGCGAGGCATTCAAAATGAGAGCCGGGGTAAAAACTCCTTGCCCAGCCTGGACCCGGGGAAATATCGGGCAAAACCGTCGCTCCTTGTAATCCCGTCCCTGCGGTCCGGCCCCCAGGGTGGGCTTTGAGAGCGGGCTCTTCTTCTGGCAGGCACCTAACTCCCCCTGCCCCCCTAAATGAGCCAAGTGCACCCCCCTCTCCACCCGGTGGGCACCACCACGGGGGTTTCGCCCCTCGAGCGGACCCCGCGCCGCTTCAGCCAGATTTCCG